GTAAACTTACAGCATGTGCATGACTATAAATTAACTTACGGTATGGAAAGGTGCATCTGTGGAATGCAAAAAAATCTGTTTTATTGATTAATTTCTCAGCTTCAAAAGAGATCTAAAAAAAAGAAAATTTTAGAATTACATTTAATCACTATAGACAAACTATAAGTGTTTATGTGGTACTATGTAATAAAAAATAAATTAATGGCTCATGAAGGTACTATTAAAGAATAATGAAACTGTCCATTTTTACCTCCGAAACAGAAGTGTGCCCTTTGAATTCAATAGGAAGAAGTCTTTCTTCATTAGAAAGTGCACGTCTATCCAACGATTTCTAAAAAGTAATTAGAATAAATTAAAGCTTGTTAAGTTTGTCTGAATAAGCATTTAATTAATGTTATGTAAGCTTATAATATAAATAATTACTTCAAATGATCTTTCCAATACAGCAGGTTGTTCAAATTGCTGCTCGTCACTCGGTGGTTTCCATAAAAACTATAAAAAAGTTGTAAAATCAAACACATGTCATGATTGATAACATTACACAAACCTTCAGTTATTCAAAGGAACCTTTTGTGGGACGGCATAAGTCACAACGCGTACCAATCCTCCTTTCGTTGTGTACAAATCGCTTGTTTGAAAATGTTCGCTGCAAATAACACTTGATTTTGTTGGATTCCAATCCATTTGTCTTCTACACTCTCTAATTATCTGAATCCAATCTTTTCTCCATTCATTTTCCTTCGGAAACCTAAAAAATGTTAACGAACATTGTTCAGCACTTCGGTGATAAGGGAGATTTATTTTGACACGTTGGAAACACTGGTAATCACTTTAATGTATCTATTAATTAAGTTAATTTAATCTCATGTATACTTATTACTTATTTTTTATAAGGTTAGGGAAATAAAATTTCGAAAGTTGGCAACATTAATTTCGTCAAAGAAAAATTTTGTTACATAAATTACGAAAACATATAATTAAAAATTAATCTAAAAAAATACGTTAAAGAGTGTACTTACCTGTGAAAAGTGATTCCTTGTTTTTTTTTATCACGTAAAGTGCTACGGGAACAACATTTTACGACGCAGGTTGGCATAATTAAAAAGTTATTTCGATTAGTTATTGCGTGTGTCCTTCATCAACGCTAGCAGTGTAATGGCGGACGCCGAGCTTATTATACGGCCGACGTATCTTGGCGAGTCTGAATATAGGCTCTGCGAAGTTTAGCGCATGAACACTCGTGTAGAAAACTGTTATTGTCATTTTTTTATATATACCAATGTACAAATAAAATTTCCCTAATACAGTGACCAAAAATATCAAAACACTTTGGAGACATTATAAATTAAATTCCTAAATTAACACCTTTCGATAGGGGCAGATTTTATCACAAACACATACAATATTATTTACATTTAATACTTTTTATTTATTTACACTTATTATTATTTAATCACTGTCGCTGAGGGGGGAAATTCCTAACATAAAGTCGTCGGCCCCTTGTGTACCATGTGAGGTACTTGGCATAGGTTCATCTTCGTAATCGTCGCTCTCACTTTCAGACTCACTTTCTGAATCTGAAGCTGTATTAATGATGAATAATTGATCCGTCATTTCGTCAATAATATGGTCGCTCTTCCTATAGTCATGTTCGACCTCTTGCACTTTTCTGCATAAAGCACTCCATTCATTCTGACCCATTAAATTTACTTTTTCTTGTATGAGCTCCATTGTCCGGGTTACGTTCCAGTCGACGTTTTTAGCGGCTACGTGCCCTTTAATGGCAGCCCACACCATCTCGATGGGGTTTAAATCGGGATGATATGGGGGTAAACGAAGGACATCGTGGTTGTTTTGTTTAAACATTTCATCTATTACGTATTTTTTATTCACGTCTTTGTTTTTTTTTATTAGATCGTAAAGTTGTGGTTTACGCATGTCCTTTTCATATGGTATACCCTTTTCTAATAACCACGATTCCATTTTTGCCTTCTTGTCATTAGATGTAGGGGCAGGATCCATTAATTTGTTGTGGTACGGAGCGTTGGTAACAAATCAGTTGGGTCCGTAACCATTTCTCATAATTTTTGAAATTCATGTCATCATAATAGTCTCCGGTTTTGCTGCCAAATTTGAACATTAGTAGCGCGTTCGGAACAAACCCTGCTTCTGACCCAGCGTGTACCATCACTATCCGCTGACCTTTTGATATCGGGCGCTTTAGTCCTTGAGCGGAACCATCTGACCACGCCTTACCTTTTGTATGTGATGAGTGGGCATACGACTCGTCAGTGAATACAATTGGTCGCCCTTCGTCCCTGTATTTTTTCATTGCCTTCAAGTACAAGATCCTTTTCAGGCGAATGTCGGTCTTCTCTATAAGAACCATTCTATTGGTTTCGGTCTTTCGCCACTTGAAACCCAAGTTTTTGATAATTGTCTTTAAGCTCGTTTTACCACCTTGAAAATTTATATCCCGTTTGAGTTTCGCTAGTAATTTGTTTATCGTCGGCATTTCTTTTTCAGTTTTGTGGAAGTTGTGTATGCATCTTTTTACTACTCCCTGGTCAAAATTATCCATATCAGTAATAGGTTTTGATCTAGACCTTTTTTTACCAGGCGTGCGGAATACTGAAAGTAAGCCCGAAATATTGCCTTCAGTTGCGATCCGCTGTACTGTGCGTTGGGACACACCAGTTGCGTTAGCAACTCTTAAATAAACTTTATCGACATCTTTTACGCCTTCTTCTTTTTCTTTTTTCATATATTGCGTTAAATCGTAAATAATTTTTCTCGCCTGGCGATTTAACACACTGTTATGTTTTGGTGGCATGTTTGGCGAATAATATAAGTGCTAACTGACACTTGCAAATAAAACAAATAAAACAAATAAAACAAACAAAACAAACTTAACACTATTAATAAAAACAAACAACAATAACAACGAAAACTTTTGTAACCGACTGTGCTCAAGACAGAGATAGCGACACGAACACGACACCAATGCTAACGTGTGACTGAGAAATATTACCGTGTACCGAGCATTGCCGAATAAGCACGAAGCTTTACGAAGTAACCAGAAAGGGATGTCCAACACGCGTGCCTGAGGGTGTTGTTTAATCGATTTTTATTCAAATCGATTAAAATTAAGACATAAAAATATATTTATTTGCAATTTATAAGGAGGTTCTAAATTTTCTCAAATAGTCGTTACTCAAGAAGACGTTAATAGATAATTGATATTTAAGTACATTATGTCTTTCAGCTGAGAAAATAATATGTTTTTAGTTTTTTTTTTATTTAAGTCGAAATCTTGTTTATTATCAACAAAATTCACTATATTTGTAAATCTATTTCGTTTAATATCTTATATAAACAAAAATCAATAACTTCTAAATAAAACTAATCGATTGCGATATTTTATGACTAAGGGCCGGTTTTTTGATCCGTAGTTAAGGCGACCAATGGTTAAAAATAACGACCAATGGTTAAATTTTTGTAAAATCCGTTTTTTTGACCCATAGTTAGCACAACCAGTGGTTAAATAAGTAACTATTGGTCACAAAATTTAACCACAGCTCCAACAAGGGATTAGCAAGATGGCGGCTAGTTAACTCTCGCATTATCAGCTGTTCTCACTTCTCAGTGTTGTTTGCTCGTGTGATTTTAGTGTGGATTTTAGTGAAAAGTGTTACAATACAGATTTTCTGTGTTATTAATTATGAATTTAAACATAACGAGATACTTCGACATTTCAGAAAGTTCATCTGATGATGAAATTGTTGCGGAATATGTTTTAATGAGAAGACCAAAGGTATTCAGACCACGTAATCCGCCCCTGGGGCATTGGGACGAAGTAGACTTTTGTCAGCGCTACCGTCTATCTAAAGAAAGTGTAATTTGGATCATCAGAAACATAGGAGACGAGTTAAAAAGACCAACTGAAAGAAATTATGCAGTTACGCCAATGGAGCAATTATTGCTTACTTTAAGATTTTATGCCACTGGGAATATGCAACAATGTTCCGGTGATCTGTCTGGTGTCTCAAAATCCACTGCCTGCAAAATAATTCATGCTGTATCAAGGCACATTTGCTTAAAATTAAAATATTTTATTGCAATGCCTCAGACGGCTGGAGATGTCGTTGAAAGTTTTTTCAATATAGCAAAATTCCCAAGTGTTGTTGGTGCAATAGATTGTACCCATATACGTATTGCAAGCCCAGGTGGAGATAATGCGGAATTGTATAGGAACAGAAAAGATGTGTTTTCTATAAATACTCAAGCCATCGTCGATTCAAAACAAAAAATTAGAAATTTAGTTGCTAGATGGCCGGGTTCAGTACACGACAGTACAATTTTTAATAGCAGTGCAGCCAAAGATTTAATGATATCTCAAAAAGTTTGGCAGATGCTGTCTTTTAGGAGATAGAGGCTATGCCTTAAAAAAAGTATTTGCTGACTCCTTTGGCCAACCCACAAACTGAGGCTGAGAGGCTGTACAATGAAAGCCATATACGAACAAGGAATGTGGTTGAAAGGACATTTGGTGTGTGGAAGAGGAGGTTTCCTTGTATAGGCACAAAATTGCGAGTGAAATTGGAGAATGTGCAAGCTATAATAGTGAGCACAGCAATTCTTCATAACATATGTGTAGACCGAAATGATGCTTTACTCGATGACTCTACCAGTAACCTAAACATCATTTTGGATGAAAACATTAATACAACATCACCTCCATCGACTCAAAGTGATCAGCAATATCGGCAAGAATTAATTGATACATACTTTGTTTCTTTGCTCAACTCAGAATAAATGTTATATACATGATACATGTAAAGGAATGTATGTTATAAAATACATATAGAAATAAAACATATTTTAAAAATAATATCGTTTTTTAATCACAATCATAACTTACCTAAACTTATATTACATTACATTACACTATACCATATACTACTTTGCTTATATTATTAATATTAAATAACTAATAGTGACTATTGTTCTGAAATACAGCTGCATTTCTTAATTTTTAAAATTTCTAATTTAACTTTTTCCAAAAGTAATTCTTGTATATTTTTCTTAAATACTACTTCGAGCTCATGCATTTCCTTTTGTTGTTCCATGTACAAAGCGTGCTTTTGTTCCATGAATTCTATTTCTCTTTTATATTTATCTGCTTTATGTGTAATATTTTGCTGGTGCTCTTCTTGTGCATATTTTTTTATTTGCTCTTCCCTGCTCTTTTTTTCGGTTAAAAACTCTTTTTTCTCTTCAAAATGAGTTACGATACGTTTTCTGGCTTCAAAAGGAGTATAACATTTCTTTCTTTTGTTGTGAGGACTCGCTGTAAACAAAGAAACTATGAAAAGAATGTTATTTAAAATCAAATTACATCAGTCCCATTTTTGCTAAACCCTTTTAGAGACAATGTTATACTTTTATTTTTATACTGTACCTATGCTTTATATTGCAATAAATTTTATGAAACTTTATAAATGGAATAAACTTTTAATATTTATTAATAATAGACACAATGGGCTACTTTTTATACAAACATAAAATAAGATAAGCAAAGAAATTTTTCACAAATTACAGATCAAATCAATTATGATTGATTTAATTTTGACCTTGTGATTTTATAAATTAATTCATCTCTGTTTATAATAATAATTATTATGAATGTTTCCATTCACACAGTGCAGGGGACACTAGGATTCCCTGTGTTTCACTGTGTGTGAGGGTGGTAGCCATGTACATATAACCTGGACCCGAGTACAAAACAATTATCTGCCTCGGTTGGGATTGAACTCGAGACCCTCAGTATGATGTGGTACAGCTGCTAGTATTTGATACTTACATAATTGCTTTGAAATTGGTTTCCTGAGCAAAGCCTTTGGTGTAGAGTTGTCAAACGTTATATCAACCTTTTTTTGAGTCTGCATCTGAAAGGCATGGATAGAAATAATGTTAGGTATCCCCAAGCAAAACTTGTGATGAACACTAATAACAATAAATTGTAATAGTTAAAAAAGTTCATGCTAGTAATCCTGAAGGTCCTGATCAGGACATTCAAAGATTCTGATACATAAATCCATAGATAAGTACCAAGTTAATAAGTAATAAACAAACCTGTCTCAATATCATCCAATACTTCTGTGTTTAACAAATTGTTGCACTCATTTAAGGAAGTATTTGCAGTACCACCTAAAATAAAAATATAGTTAATATTCTGAAAATAATATGCAATATATTTATATTAAATACATTTAACCTCACCTGCATCGGACATTTCGTTTTCCATTAAATCTAGAGATATGGTGCATTCTGCTGTGTTTGACATTTCAAGCGTTGTGTCACCATCAACTGTAAAACAAAGGTATTATTTAATGAGTTAATTGTTGTTCATGATTGAAATGTATTGTTTTTATGTCATTTTAAAATAATCTGCTATATCCAAATCCACATTATTATCTAAATCAAAACTGAAAAGCCAGGACTGAAAATTGGTATGATGTTGAGTCTATATTTTTCCAGGAGCTTATGTCGTAGTATAGTTGCATCAATGCAATAGACAAACACTCAAAACAATTATAATGTTATTATCATAATATAATCTCAAAAACAATAAGAGAAGTAGGTACATCATACCTAAAGCATCACTGTCATATATAGCGGGTAAGCCAGAAATTGACTCGCCCATAATGGTGTTTAACCATTCTGTTGTCTCTGATGGTTTAGGGGGTGGTGGTCCACCTCCAGTTTGTTTCCTACCATTTTTCTCTGCACTCATTTCCTGTAAATAAAGCATAATAATTATAGTACCTAAGCATAATTAAATTCCATCTTTTAGCTTATTTTGAAGATAAAGGCAACTTACTTTTCTGGCTATTTTTTTCATATTGTTAAATTTTTGTTGTAGTTGCTTAACATTTCTGTAAACAACAGCGTCCGAATTAAACTTTTCTGCTAGAGATCGCCACGCTGCATCTTTTTGCTGGTTACTCGCGTGATCAGTTCTTTTGCTTGTAATTATCGAATAATCCTTGAGGAGGCATGTCAGTTTTACAGTCTCTTCTTTACTAAAATTGGTTGTACGATCTCTGAAACATAGGGTTAAAGAAAATTACTTAATACTTTTTGTTTACTACTCTCCTGATTATAGCATTACAATAAAACAAATGTTAAGACTTACTTGCTAGTTCCTGTTTTTTGCGATGCCATCATATTCGAATTTGCTATATATTCTGTACTTTTTCGTCACGATGTTAAAAATACCACGAGGCACAAATCACGATTTAATTAAGTACCGTTTTTTTGTGATAAAGAATCTTTATTACAAAATAATGACATTGACAACTTTGACACTAATAACAAGTACGATAAACGTCAAATGCGTCAGGCGTAGACAGTCTTGCCATGCAAAAATAATTACTCCCTACTGAAATTGGGGTCATTTAACACTCATTACAATGGCAACATATTTAACCAATGGTTAACATTACCAATAGTCAAAAAGAGATCAAAAAACAAACTCTTGCTTTAACTAGTGGTTAGCTTCTAACCTTTGGTCAGTTTAACAAATAGTCAACGTAACTTTGACTACGGATCAAAAAACCGGCCCTTAAGGGTCGATTGTGTTTACTTATGGTCAATCTCTAGCCTAGACCACCGCCCCCCGTACGTCGCCTCATGCCACCATTTTGTTCCTTAAAAAAGCTATTGCGCAACCTTCTGCGCGAAGGTCGGACTCGCCAAGATACGTCGGCCGTATTGTACTATTATTTGAATGTGTGGGTGTTAACGTGTAAATAAACGTTATCGAGCTTACTATGGTGCTTCAATATGATAGTTTACGGAATTCCGTCCGTTGTTCTTAGTACGTTCATGCGGTATGTAATGTTGGGAGGTTCGAGGAATAAATTAAACGTCTGGCGGTCGTGAATGGAGGTTTATTACTAACTCTAAATGTCTATTAGGCTATCATATATATAGCTACATGAGCATACACTAAACACACACTACACGCCCATCGGCAAAAAAGAAAAAAAAATGAATTAGAAAATTTTTTTTTTCTATAAAACAAAACTTGGTGTAAGATTCAAAAAAATTATTAATTATTTAAAAATATTAAAATTCCTATCCTATATCAAACTTATAACATAATAAAATAAAAATAAAATATCGTAAACACTGTAATTTGAAAAAAAAAAAATAACTTTCTATCTCTTTATTTAAATTTATTAAACTATCATCAAATTTAAGCCTAATCATAGTTTTTGTTTTAAATTGCTTTTAGTTCGCCTATCATAACTGCATAAGTAATATTTAAAATTTTTATAGATAACTATTAATTCACTAGACTGAAAATACAGTTTTTTAAAAAAAAATAAAGTAATCAAAAATATTATAAGGCGTAGTATATAAGGTTGTTTACAATATTATTATTTTCTTAAACTTAAGCTATATTTTTAAATTTAAACCTTAATAAACTTTAAAGGTAAATAACCAATTCCATTAAAATAGTAAGTATCCTTATTTTTAAGTAGATAAACTCCAACATACTTATTTAAATCACACTGTAGTGTGAGTGTATAAACATTACTAGCACTATGCTTACATAAGGGCCCTACTAAATCTAAATAAACTATATCAAAGCGGAATATCCCGTATCGGTTATAACTTATAACCATTGGTTCCTTTATATATTTATTTAAGTGTTTATATATATATAGCAAACACTTGTCGCATCGATTTACATAATTAGGTAACGTTATTAATTATGTAGTACTAGTTATATAGTCTCTAACTCCGGTCAAAAAAATCTTTTCTTTGTATTGTTTATCATTCGCTTATAGGTACGCGACCGTTAGTTGGCGAAATATGATAGTCGGTTAATATTACATGTTTTGTTTCACGGCGGTTCTAGTGCAACATAATCATAATAATTAATCATAACAACAGGGATCAAATACAACTTACAATCTCAGCCGCGTAAGCGGTTTGTGACACCTTTGTTTTAATTTCTAAGTATGTTCATGGGAACGTTTTTTCGATTACGTTGTGTAATGGTACCTAGTTTTAACCATGCATTAAAATGATATCGTAAATAAAATGAAATTAACTTTCCCAATAGTTTGTACCTCTATTTATATATTGCTACATTCAATTTTAAATTCATTTTGTAAAAGTATTATACTTTTACATAGGTATATTAACAAAAAAATCATTAATTAAGTTATTTATAATTTCGAAAACTCATTTTTTCATGACATGAAATTTATATATATATATATATAAAACACTACTAGGTACACAGCTCAAATTTGTTTTACAAATATTTATTAACATTAAAAATAAACAATTTTATTTCAACCAGATAACATAATTTTAGGTTCCGTTGTCTTTTATAAAGAAAAACGTAAAAAGAATACTATTACATTAATAAATTTATAATAATAGTGTATCGATATACTCTGGACTTTACTTTATGAGCAAAATATAAACCAAATATAGTTTAAAATGTACAAATTTTATATAAAAAACATGTAATAGAAAATTCAACCAGAATTATTGTAAATGTAAATTAATGTGTCTAAATATGAAAAAAATTTCGTAAATTCATAAACAAATGTGGTTAAACAATTACGCGCACAATACATACACACACACAACACATTTTGCGTAATTGTGTAAATCGATCCCTATAGTTATTAAATGTGTAACTCGTTAGTCGCATTTTGGGTAGCATTAATGCAAAATAACTACCTATCTCACTATTAGATTATCATACATTTATCACACTTTTTAATTTGCTCGGAAATTCCCTTATAATCCTGTATTTTTGTCGATTAATAGGCCCTTTTTCCATAATTCTTGTACGTACTTTATTTATTCCTAATATTTTGACCTTTAGCTAGCTCTCTTTCTCTCTATTCACTTATATGTTTATTTATTTATTCGATACCGGGAATCGGAGTATTAATTCATTTCATTTATATTTTATTTCGTGATTTTTATCACGCGGGTACTTTATAAATATGGGCCCCCCCATTTATTTGGGTATTATATTACATTTTCGTAACATTCATTTCATTTTATTGGTACATATTTTTTTATTTTATATCAAGGTAAAATTTACCTTGAGTTGTGCGCACAACCTTGAGGTCTATGTTTTTTAAGTCACTTTAAATGGACTCCAACAATTGTCACAGAGGAAAACTAAGTTCGCACCATGATCCAACGAAGGATGTGACCTCAATGTACCATTAATAAGGGTAACAAATTTAAGACTTTTCTGGTCCCTAACAGTACTAATATGAGTAAACTCAGTTACATCACTTGTACTGAAGGCGTTGTTCCCTAGTACCCGTTACTCCGATTTCATCGTCCAATCACGGAAACATACCCTGCTCGAGGACTATATGCTATACCAGTGATGAACGTTCCCGTATCTCTCCATCATTTATTTCTGATGGTCATCTTTTTTATTATCTTCGTAAATCTTTGTCTGTATCGGATACTTTTATATTCATTAAATCTCATTCCATCTCCTTTCAACTAAGCATATCGGTTTATTAACATAACCAGAATTTGGGCCCTAAACATTGGCTAAGATAATATCCGATAGCCTAATTCCTTCATTCCAATAACTAGCAAAATTTTGATATTAAAATTGCATAGTTTGTAATAATGTATCTAAACATTACATAAATCCTTCTACATATACGACATATATTACAACAGTTAAAATCCATACTTATTATATTCCTTTCTTTGCCGTAGTCTGTTTTCAACTTTCACACATCCATACCAAAACCTCAACATTCTTCAAGAGAAAAAAAAATTAACACCATCATAATTATTCATTGGTTGATCTAGCCGATTACAAAAATAGTTAAGCTAATGTTTTACTGTTACTTTTTACTTAACTAACTTTCTTTTCAGATATAAACACCATGCCAATATATTTGAACACAACCTATACAATATACAATTTCCTTTCTATAATTTAACACTTATTTTTCTATCCTTTCTTTTACTTTTTTTTGTGCAAACAGTTCTTTGTTTCAGTTCCTAAACTAACATAGTAAGATATGTTATATAGTAAGGGTTGGCAACCCTATCTATAAAACCCAACGAACATTACAAGCCTAATTTTGTTATACCTTAATTAATTATATGTGTGAAATGTTCTTAATAAATGTTTCTTCGCTTCTTTCAAAGTGAACTAGTGATCAACAAAATCAAACTACTAGTAATTCACACTACTGTAAAAATATATATAATGATTAATATACAACATGATCGATAGTGTACCTGTTAGAAATCTTTTAATTGCTTTTAATACTTCAAAGGCACAAATAATTGTTTTTTCCCCACTTCATAAACTTTATGTTTTGACATCATTAATTCACATCGCATTTTTTTTTCATATAAGTTGTTTAATATTTGTCTTAGCTTCAATAGTTCATAAGTCATTAGAGTTTAGAGCCATTACCTAAATTCAATAATCATATTATCTCAAAAAAAAAAGTATCGAACTACTATACAGTTTTGTATTACAAAATAATAGTTTATTTTATCAAGTCTTTTTTTATCAATTGAATACTGGATTTTAATCGTAGATAAAGTAAATGAAAAAGTATAAAGTCAATATTTTGAAGGCAAGTCAGGAGACAACAGTAGTGTATATTAATGCATCATTCTGTATCAACTACGTGTAATATTCCGATGCCTTATATGCAAAAGATCACGTCAGCATTGTTTAGAATTTGTTGCGCAATGTTACTACAAAGAAAACATGATATTACATTTCGATGAATTCTTCAACAATATCTGTACAAAATATTGCAATTTTCATTATTAATAAAATATATCAGTTAATATTCTTTTGAGTTATTAAGTTAAGCTGCGTTTAAAATTTATATTATTCATCGATCAATTTATATTTTACAAAATTTATTCATAAGTTGTCTTTTATCTGATAGCAATAAAATAAAGTTCCTCTTTTTCATTCGTTATGTTAAGTATTTTAGAACCAAATAGATAATTAAAGTAATCACGCAAAATAATAAGGATATGAATATACAAACAGCACTTGCTTTCTATTGAGAGTGTTCCATCTATTAAATGAACAAAATGAGTTAAAAAATAAAAAATGGTAAAAATATATGATTGGTGACTAAAGTTATTATATTTTTAATTTTATAAAATTAGAATTTTAA